GGAGGAAGGTACGGTAGCATGATGAAGCCTCTTTAGGGGATACTTTCTCTCTGTCAGGTGTGTGTGTGTGTTCATGCCCTCTAGCACTAATTTAAAAAAAGGGGGGGGGCAATTCGTAGACTACATACTTACTAATTAAGACTAAATGGAAAACCTAACCTTGGTGGTATAGGCAACAGTGTATTAAATTACAGTGCTTGGGACCAGCAGTTGGTGTAATGGCTATGTCGCTAGACTCCCACATAGCAGATTGTGGTTCGAGTCTCAGACCCAGTGGCTTAAATTCATGCTGGGCACGTGTGCATGTGTGCCCAAGATTCCGAGAGGAGAATGGAGGAGAAGGGATTGTAGTGTGGCCATCCCCCCAGGGGTGATTTCTCGCTTTCTATCTCTCTGTCTCTGTCTTTCTGGTGAGCACCCGCACCCTATAGCAAAAACCTCTCAAAAGAAAAAAAAAAAAAAACACAAAAAAATTATAGTGTTAGAAGCCTCATGGTTGATTGTGAGTTTGGATCCAGAATCAACCTGGAAACACAATGGGTGTGCAAGACCAAGATCCTAACAAGCTGGAGAGCTGGGGTAAGGGCTGATGGCGCCCTGGTGAAGAGATTGCCCTATCTCTTCACCCACACCTGTTTCTCATGAATTTGCAAATAAATTTAAAAAAAAAAAAAAAAGAAAAAAGAGTTAATGGGAGTCTTACTAAGTGCTCAATATTTTTACTGAATTTCAAAATTTTTCCTTATTGCCAGAGAGTGGGTATGAGAGAGAGAGAGAGAGAGAGAGAGAGAGAGAGAGAAAGAGAAAGAGAAAGAGAAAGAGAAAGAGAAAGAGAAAGAGAAAGAGAAAGAGAAAGAGAAAGAGAAAGAGAAAGAGAAAGAGAAAGAGAAAAAAGACAGAGGGAAAAAGTACCCCAGTGGAGTATGCTCATGCCACAATCACTTCTCTTCCATTTTTCCATCCTGCAGTATTAGGGCATGCACACACAAGAATCCAGCATATTTTTTCTTTTCAATTTATTAATTTATTTTTTATTACTTTTAAAATTTATTATAGGGCATGTGCACTTGCCAGAGACACAGAAAATGAGAAATCACCCCTTGTCCTCCATTCTCCTCTTTGGATCTTGGGCACACACACACACACACACACACACACACACACACACATGCAGCTGGTGTGTGAGTTTTAAGTCACCGGGTCCAGGACTCAAACAATGGTTAACTACGTGAGAGTCCAGCGACGTACCCAGTATGCCATCTGCTGGTCTTGCACCCAACATGTTTTTCAAGCTGCCAGGGTTGGGACTCAAACTGAGTTCACCACATAGGCTTCCAGCTTCCTTAACCACAGAGCACAGGGCTGGTCCATTTTACCGAAATCTAATCAGTGTGATGCTGTGGCTAGTTCATGTTGCCTTAGAAAAACACTAATAAAAAGAATCCTAAAGTGTCTGAGGTTCGATTTTGAAAATGTATTAGTAATATAATCCAAAATTTTTATTGTTACCATTTTAAAATGATTTCTCACACTGACATTATGATACATATGTACTGGAATCTTCATGGAAAAATTTAAATGTCTGAGTCAGTAGTAGTATTAGAGATATGATACCATCTAGAAACTAATATGAATGCTGCTTGCTTTTATTACCTGAAAGAAAACGTACAGTACTGTAAGTAATTTAAATTAGATATTATTATATATTTTTATTGCCAGAGAGCACATGGGCACGCCAGAAAAAGAGAAAGAGATAGAGGGAAAGAAAGCACCCCTCGATGGAGCATCGTGTCACGCTGCGATCCCCACTTCTGCACTTCTTCATCTGGTTGGGATCCTGAGCATGGCACACACATGCTCAGTACGTTTTTCAAGATGCCGGGGTCAGGATGTGAACAGTGGTCGGCCGCGTGAGATCTGGCTTCCTTAACCACTAGGCCGTAAGGCTGGCCCAAGTCAGGTATTATTTTAATTTTCACCTGCTATATGGTAAGTTCTAAAGAAATTTTCAAAAACAGTGAAAATTTCCAGATAGGAAAAATACAGCAGATTGCAAATATGAGGTCTCCAGGACAATGAAGTCTCAGTCTTTCACTCCCAGCACTCAAGCATATCCAGGTTCTGCATTCAGTGAACGGTTTCTGCTCTCATGCATAACAGAGAGAACGAGAAAAGGAAGGAGTGATGACAGTGAAGACCCTTTGCTCTCAGTTTGGCTGTTGGCTCCAACTTTCTCCTTAAACAAACCCATTAATTTAACTGTATTACAAGAATAAAAAGACATGGTCTGAATTTCAGCATTTTATTTCTCCTGCTCTTTTGGGAAGTGATGTTAATGAGCTGGGAAATAACCATGAAGTATACAGGAAGAGAGATGACATATTTGCTAATAAAAAAGTTCATCTTAGAGATGAGGAAGTTACAGTTCAGAGTTTGTGACCCGAACAAAGTTCATCAGGTTGCAGGCCTTCTGACTCTAGGATGAATGCTCTGTACAGTATACCCTTCTACTGGTCAGATTAGCTAAAGGGGGAAATGTGAAGCTGTAAAATTATTATTGTATTGCATATAAAGCTCATTGAAACAACACACTACTAACATCGCTTACAGGAAAATGACTCAAATGAGAGTTCCACTATGAGATCCATGCTAAATACACTGAACATTTTACAACTGTATTTACTTATACTTATGCAGATGGGAAAACTAAAGCTAAAGGCAAATTCAAGTTAAAAAGGGACTGAGTACCTACTATGGATCAGGTACTGGTGCTGTAGCAAGAGAATAAATTTCTGATTCAAATGCAAAAACAAACATTTCTAACCTTTGGGACTAAGCCTCAGTGGCCTCCTATGACATTATTCAGTATTTCTGATAAAAATAAGACTTCAAGGGGTTTTTCCAAAATAAAACACAAAGATCAAAGTCAGAGAAATATTTCTTCAAAAGTTTCTTCAATTACTGAGGACACTATTAAATTACAATGAAATAAACTGATAGATGCTAACGTCAGCTTTATGAATTCTCTCAGTTCTTATGTCACCTTATTTCAATAACACAGCACTTAAATATAAATATCTAAGTTACTTGTTTAAAATGAAAACTATCCTATGCTATACGAAGTTTACCTTTCCTAAGTTTGAGAGATTTCTCACAGGAAAGGGAGATATGTACCTTTCCATGACAGCCAGGCATTCCTTTCTCCAGGTAAATCTACTCCCTCGTCGTAGTCGGAAGGTACCAGATGTGGCAGAGACTGGGGGAGGCGTTTGTCTCCATTCAGGGTCCTCTATTGGAATGGGAGCCGGCCTCATACTTAGTGTAGCCCCTGAAATAAAAAAGATATTTTCAGCAAATATTTTGTAGTTTATTAAAACAAACCATGAAATCAAGAACAATGAAAATTTGAACACAAACTTCTATCCTTCCATTGAACTGTGCAGCCCAACATACTTGGTATTTATACTAAAAACACACACGCCCACACTTGACTAAAATAAAAAAATCCAAAGTGGCAAAAACTGTTCCTTAAAAAGTCCATCACTGGGCTGACCCCATAGTGCAGCAGCTAAGCGCCATATATAAAAAGTCGGATCTCACATAATGATTTAAATCCCAGCTCTGGGATCTTGAAAAATATGCTCGATGCATGTGCGTACGTGCCTCGAATCCTGACAGAGTGGAGAGATGGGGGAGAAAGGACTGCAGCATGACCATGCCCAGCTGGGAGTGCCTGGCTCACATGCTCTTTCTTTCTCTTTAGTGAGTGCATGCACCTTTTAGCATTAAAAAAAAAAAAAGTTCATCATTAGAGGCCAGGCAATGGTGTAGCAGTAATGCAACTGGAGCCACATGCAAACTGGGTTTGCATCCCATGACCTCCCTGAACACACCAGGCATATGCATGTATACTCCAGACCAGCTCAGACTAGGGGTGGATCAAGGCATGGGGCACCTGTTGGGGTGCCTACATGTCTCTCAACCTCTCTTGCTCATGGAAAATATTAGCAAACTTAAAGAAAAAAAGTCCATTACTAGTTATTTTAAAATATTATTCTTTTTTCCCTTGATCATTTGCCTGTTACCTTCATTTATGGTATTTTCTAAAATAAAGCACAAAATTCAAGTTTTTTATGAGAATGGGAAAGTATGGTCTTTGGCTTAGGCATATTTTCTTATGAAAACCCTCTCTTAAAACTTCTACTTGAGGGGACCAGCAGTTAGCGTAATGGTTATGTCGCTAGACTCCCATGTAGCCGACCGCGGTTCGAGTCCCAGACCCAGTGGCTTAAACTCACTCCAGGCGCATGTGCGTGTGTGCCCAAGATCCTGAGAGGAGAATGGAGGAGAAGGGATTGCGGCGTGGCCATCCCCCCTGGGGGGTGATTTCTTGCTTTCTATCTCTCTTTCTGGCAAGCGTATGCACCCTATAGCAAAAACCTCTCTGAAAATCAAAACAAAACAAAAAAATAAACAAAAAATACCTTCTACTTGATAGTGGTAATATTTTTGAACAGCATACCCTAGAGGTTCATAACCTTTTGTTCTCAAAGGACTTGGGAGCCCTTAAAGAATGTATACTGGTAGGCAATGAATTTAAACTAACCCTAATTGTTATAAACTCTTTAAAAAATAAGTCATATACCGCATTTTAAAAAACAAGATGATATTTTATATGCTTTTAAGTCTAATTAAATCAGGTCTTAGAAGTCTACTACCTAGTCATACTAAACTATATTCTGTAACCTCTTGAATGTAGTAAAATGTCCGTAAAATATTTTATAATTATTTCATAATTAATACCGAGATAGTCTACTGATTTAGTCTAGTATTTCTTAGTCACTCAACTGGTGATGATGTGTTTCTTCATTCCCTTATCTGTCAAACCCCTTTTACAAGGTTTGCTCTAAGCTAAAAGCTAATAGTAAGAAAAAGAAAACAATGTTGACTCTGACCTTCATGGACTCACTTCTTACGACTTAAATATAATTTGGTATGTTTTCAGAAAGTTCATCCCAGGATCCCCCATTCTTCTTTCACTCCTTACATTGTTAAATTCACCTTTCCAAAGTATAGTTACAATTGTATCCATTTTTTTTTATTAAAAAACAAAACAAAAATCCTGCAGAAAAGTTCTTTCTGTCAGTGGTTTAATCCAAACTCTTAACATAGCCCCAGAAAGACAAGTTAGAATATATAGGATGATATATAGACAAGTTATGCACATATTAATAAATAATAGTCCTATATGAATAAGTATATATTCCTTTATAACAGCAATTACACTCCATCAGAACTTTCAAGTAATATCATGGGTAGTGTTTCTACTTCAGTATACATGGATTTACTGTAGATTCCCTTCCTTTTTTTTTTTTTTTTTCTTGGAGAGGTTTTTGCTATAGGGCACGCGCTCTTGCCAGAAAGACCAAGAGATAGAAAGTGAGAAATCACCCCCTGAGGGGATGGGATGGCCAGGCTGCAATACCTTCTCTTCCATTTTCCTTCCAGGATCTTAGGCACACACACACATGCACCGAGTGTGATTTTCAAGCCACGGGTCCTGGACTCAAACCAAGGTTGGTCATGTGGGAGTCCAACAACATAACTGCTATGCCATCTGCTGGTCTCTATATGTATTCTTTTATACAGGGGGTTTTGTTTGTTTGTTTGTTTGTTTGTTTAAGAGAGATTTTTTGCAGGAACCAGCAGTGGCGTGGTGGTTAAGGTGATGGACACTCCCACGTGGCTGACCACAGTTTGAGTCCCGGACCTGGCAGCTTGCTTTTTCACTTTCCCTCTCTCTTTCTCTCTCTCTCTGTGGGTGTCTCTCTCTGGTAAAATTAAATGAATAAATAAAATTAAAACAACTCTTTAAAAAAAGAGAGAGAGAAAGAGATTTTTGCTATAAGGCACATGTGCTCCCTGGAGAGAGAGAGAGACAGACAGACACACAGAAAGCAAGAAATCACTCCCTCAGGGGGATGGCCATGCTGCAATCCCTTCTCCATTCTCTTCTCAGGATTTTGGGCACACATGCACATGTGCCCTATGTGAGTTTGAAGCCACCAGGTCCAGGACTTGAACCATGGTCGGTCTTGTGGGAGTACAGCCTCATAACCATTAGACCATCTGCTGGTCCCTATACAGTGAGATTTTAACCAACCCTTATTTTTCTTTCTAACTTATTGTCCTGCAGTCTTTCCCATGTTTGTAAACAGATCCCCATTCTTCAACTGCTTAGCTCAAAAATCTCAGATTTATGTTTGATTTCTTTTTCTCCTGCATATCAAAAATCATAGATTCATCTTGGATTTCTGTTTTTTTCCCCATATTACATATCTAATTCAGAGGCAAATGCAAATTTGGTTCATTTTATCTTCAAAATCTATCCACACTAATTTTATTACCTGCACTGTTACTACTTTAGAATGAGCCAGCATCATTTCTCACAATCATAACTTCCTGGAATAGGTTCTAAAGATGGCTCCTCACAATAATTCATACCTTCTGGTAACCGTGACCTTGAATCTGTGCTGGTCCTGTGACACATTGTTGATAAAGAATATAGAAAAAGTTCAAGAAGGTTTGAAATTTGTGCCTACGTCTCCTGGAATGCTAGCTCTGGAGGAAGTCAGTTGCCACATAAGAAGTTGCCATAGAAGTCTGACTAACCTGAGACTTGTGAGGAAGCCCAAGCTAGTCATATAAAGAGGCCATAGGAGGAGAAGCAGATGGTGCAATTGTTAAGTCACTGGACACCCACGTGGTCAACCACAGTTCAAGCCCCAGACCCGGCAGCTTAAAACATACCAGGGGTGTGTGTGTGTGTGTGTGTGTGTGTGTGTGTGTGTGTGTATGTGTGTGTGTGCATGCCCAAAATCCTGAGAGGAGAATGGAGGAGAAGGGACTGAGGTGTGGCCATCCTCCCAGGGAGTAGTTTCCTACTTTTTATCTCTCTTGCAAGTACACATGCCCTATAGCAAAAATCTCTCTCTGAAAAATAAAAAAAAGAGGCTATAGGGAATAAAAAGACTTCCAGCTAGTCCCTAGGTATTTTTGCTAACTGTCCCTAGATGCCAGACATTTGAGAGAGAAAATGCCATCTTGGGAACTCCAGCCACACAAATATGTGGACAACTGTAGAACCCCAGTGACAGAGAGAAACAGGGACCCAGAAATATAGACCCAATACAGCCATGTGGTGGCCAGCCTCAAAGGTTCCTAAAGACGCAGTCTCCAGTATCTACACCTTTGTGTACCCCTTTCCACACTGCATTAGTCTTCGTGTCCAACAGCAAGTGGCATATTGACAGCATCTCATTGTCAGAGTTAGATGACAGACGATGCTGTGGCCATGACATTGATTCTCCTTTTTGCATCATTCACTCAAGGGAAAACTAGATGCCATGGGTGAGGATACTCATACTCAGGCAATAGAAGGAGAAACCCATGTTGCAAGGAATTGTCGTCTCCGGCTAATAGGAGGTAAGGAAGGGAGCCTACCAAAAAACCAAGTGAGTGAGTGTGCAAGTGGAATGTCTAGTCCCAATGACTTACTCTAAGCCCAAACCACCCAGCTAGGCTGTGCCTGGATTCCTGATCTACACAATTATAAAATAAACACTTGTTGTGTTAAGCTGCTAAATTGAGAGGTAATTTGTTGTATAACAGATAACTACTAAAACTCATCACTAGTTTATTTTTCCACATTCCCCAACATATTATATCAGGAAAGTCATGAAGTATTTTTCAATGCAAAAATGTATCATGACTTTTCCGACAATCCAATATTGTGAGCATTATTAATTTTTCAAATATATAAATTTTGCCAACAAAAACCTGTTTAATATAAATTCCACTACTAGTAAAAATAAGCATCTTTTCTTGTTTTCTGACCAATATATATCTTTTCTAATGAATCTATAACTTGGTCACTTTTCTCTTTTGGGTTATTCATCTTACTGATGTGTAGGCCTAAATCAGTTGCTAGTTATATAAATCACAATTACTTTTCTACTGGTTGTCATTTGTCCTTTATGTATGGTGTACTTTGTGATCTTTATGTAGTCAAATGTATCAATCTTTTCTATTATGGCCAGTGGGTCTAAATACCATTCAGACTACCTTTGTAGTTTTTATTTTGTTTCAGCCCTTAATCTAAATGAGGAGACTTCCAAAAAGTCATGAAACAGAGTTTATTCTCACACAAACAATTTTGAAATTTATCCATAGGTTTTTTTTTTTTTTTTTGAGAGAGATTTTTTTTTTTTTTTGCCATAGGGCATGTGTGCTTGCCAGAGAGACAGAGACAGAGAGACAAAGTGAAAA